ACTTTCCTTTATAAGTTTGCACTTTGATTTCTAGCTTATAAATGAGATCTTTTTAGTATTGTTTTGTGTTATTTATGTTATATAAGTTATTCTATGTTGAAATGAGCTTTGATAAAGGGATTGGATTCCCAGGTAGGTCCAGAAGGGGTGTCCGGCCTAATAAACCCTGCTTAATTTGGCTGGAAGTATTGACTTCTCAAGATAGAAGTGGAAAACAACCACTTTATTTATGATAATCTGGCTAAAATCTTCTCAGATCAAGTTCACCTGTTTCCTCATAATCTCCTTAGAAACTTTATTTTGACTCTTGTTATTTAGTTTTAAGGAAACACCTCTAAAACCTCTCTTCTAAAATGAAGACATTAATTAAATGCAGATAATAATGTGTGGTTTCCTGATGCAAAGTCACACAGTACTCACCAGCTTTCCAGCTGTGCCAGAGTCCATCCCTGTGTTCTCCTGTGGAAGAAAGCCTGTTTCATGGTCAAACCTATCAGATTTTATGAGGTTTTATGGCCCAGAGAGGGACAAGTCAGTCCAAGGCTGTCAACACCCACACAGAACTGTCAGTACAGGCAGTTCAGAAACTCCTCTGCCACAGTGATATTTTTCCTTCACTCCATTCCTTTATTGCTGGTTTGGTTGTTTGTTTATTTTAAACACAATGAGGTAAATTGCCGGTTATCCTGAACTTTAAGCTCTATTTAACCCACATTTCTAATAAGACATGTTAGTTTTTTCAGTTATACAATTTTCTATGTAATGATTTCTTAATCCTGGCCTCTGCCCTAATGGGTTTTTATTATTACGCTCTGTTGTCTCTCTCCTGTTCCCTTAATATTTTATATGTGTTTTAAACCTACTCTCATGTTTACAGAACTACAGGGTCTTCATAAGGTGTTTACATGCATTAAAAAGCTCAAAGCTGTTTTATTGAGATTTTTTTTGATAGAGCAGCAAAAGGCTGGATGTAAGAGACCTTAAAATCTGGAAAACCGGGTTGGACTTTTTAGTTGGTTCCCCTAAAAATGTAGTTCAACCAACTGCCTTACATTGCAAAAAATTAAATGCAGGTAAAACAATGACAGCTAGTGTAAAAATAAGTCCAACCAACTCAGGATAGTTTGATCACTACGAGTGAAGAGATTTATGAAAACATTTTGCCTGATCAACAGACATTAAGCACATTTTTTTACAAATTTTTCCAAAAGTAATTTCAAATCCACACCAGGAAAAGCAACATTAAACCCCAAATTTTCCAGAGACAGAATAATAAAGAACATAGTCAGCTGTCTGTGAGTGAAGTTATGTCTGACGTCTTTTGCAGTTACTAAAGAGTGAGAGTGAACATGCATAAATGAGAAGATAAAATTAGAACGTAATCATGTATATAATCAGTATTTAAGGCCATGCCCATACAGTTTATTAACCAAGCAACGCAGGCTTTTTACAGACTAAACATAAGAAAACAATGTGAACATTACACAAAACATAAAAAAAACATTACCTGCTGTTAAAAAAGTGTTTTGTTGAGCTGGCAGCAGATGTTTGATCATATTTTATTTTTTCTAAGATTCCTCAAATTTTGGAAATGGAATTAACTAACAAATACTCTTGTAAAATTCAGCTTGATTAAAAGCAGAACTCACAATATACTCAAAGGGGATCTGTCACAGGAAAACAGATAAAATATGTTACATCATTAATTTGATACGAAAGTAAATGTCCAACCATTCAATAAGAAATTTGTTGATTTTTAGCAACAATGATTTATAAAAAAAAAAAAGAACACAATACTGCGAAGTATCAATAGTTATTCAGAATAAACAGATCAATAACCAAAAATCCTTCAAAAACTATTTAGAAGTTAGACTCAAAACACTCAGTTTATATCAGCAAAAAAAAAACAACTAATAACTAAAAGTCCAAAATGGCCTGTTCTTTTTATTTTTAATAATAATGTCCACAAAGGAGTTCCATATCCTCCTAACTCAAAACAAAGTCCTGGAAGTGTTTCTCTATTTAGGTCCAAAGTCCCGTTCCAAAATTAAAAAGATACCGTAAGAAAAAAGTTTGGTACCAACAAAAATCCCCAAAAAGGAAAAATGAAGTCCAGATCTCACCGGGAGCGTCTTTCTTTCCTCCCGGCGGCGTCTTCTTGCACTGGCCGGCGTCCTCTGAGCGTTGTTGGGCACGTTACTTTGAAAAAAGTCATTAGTTATAGTTACTAGTTACTTCTCCCAAAAAGTAATTGAGTTAATAACTGAGTTACTCCACAATAAAAGTAACTAGTTACTAGTAAAAGTAACTATTGCGT